TAGGCGCCCTCCTCGCCCAGCCTCGGGAAAGGGCTGGGGTGGGTGCGGAGGGCTGCACTGGGGTGCAGAGGTCACCCTCTGACAACTGTGTTCCTTGGCTTTTGCAGGTGGGAGGAGGAGCTTGCCAAGCGCATGGACCTCCAGACGATGGTGGACACGCTGCAGGAGGTAAGGGTCCTTGGGGTCTCCGCCAGGAGAGGGGAGGGAGAGCCATGAGGCCAAGGCTGTCGGGGCAAAGCCAAGAAGTGTTCTCAGAACAGCCCAGCTGGCTGGCTATAGAGATTGGCCACAGGAGGTGGGAAGCCGGGGACTTCTTGGGGTCAGAGCCTCCCTCTTCAGCCTCTCTCCCCGTTCTCAGGTTTTCCTGTCCCTCAGTTGACGGTCTCTTAAATTTGGCCTGTTGCCTCAGAGAGAGCTGGCAGGTTTGTGCCCACGTGGCCCCCCAGCTCGAGCAGCGTCTGTGGTGGACACATCATCGCCCCTGCTGCTCCACTAGTGGCTCTGCATTCTGGGGTCCGCTGCTAGCCTGCTGTGGCGACTCTGAGCAGCAAACATTACCTCTCAGCCTCTATTTTCCTCTAAAAATGTCAAACGGGAACAAGGATAATGATTCTGCCAGAAGGCATGAATAGTTCTTTCAAAAAATTTTAACAACTAGGGCTGGGGAGATAGCTTAGTGATCTAAGCACCTGTCTGGCAAGTGTAAGGACCCAGGTTCAATTCCTGGTACCGCATACCATGCCGGCCCCAGAAACCGTGGCACACCATGCCAGCCACTGAAACCAGGCATGGTGGCACATGTCTGTAATCCCAGCACTGGGGAGGCTGAGACAGGAGGATCACTACAAGCCCGAGCTGCGCCTGTAGTGAGACCCTGTAGCAAATATATAAATAGATAAAAGATTAAAAAATTGTTTTAAAGAGTAATTTGGAAAGTTTATAAACCATACAGAACAGAAGCAAATTTGCCTCCAACTCTGCCCGTCCACAGAGGGTCAGTCGGTGTGCGCCCTTCCAGTCTCTTCTGTGCCACGGTTCACCACCCACACGTTAGGGCGGTGTGTGCCACGTTGCTATTTTCTATATGAGAAGTGGCCAGATAGCAGCGATTTCATGTAGATCAGCCTCAGAGCTTAATGGGCCGGAGCCCTTCATGACCTTAACCGGCTCTTTTTCTCTTACTATCTGCCATGGACTATTTTGTGCTGTAAACGATCCTCCAGAAGGTGTTGGGAGCAGTTAGCAGGGCACAGCAGGAAACAGGCCGGGAAGCCGAGGTCCTCCATGGCACCTTACCCTTGAATGTAGCCACCCAGCCTGGAGGGACATTGAGTGCCCAGGCTTGGAGGGACCCAGGTGTCCAATCTCTTGTCCCTCTAAGTCCTGCCCCCGTGTCCACCTGCAGGCGGCGCAGGAAGCTGAGGCCATCCAGGAGGAGATGAACGAGAAGATAGAGCGGCTCAAGGCTGAGCTGGTGGTGTTCAAGGGGCTCATGAGTGATGTAAGTGCCACCAGCCGTCACCCCCTGGCGTCATGACCTCCCCTACACCCATCATGCAGATGGCTTTATTCACTCCGAGGCTCCAAGCTCGGCTTCTAGTTAGAGTCCTGGCTGGCTGCATTTGTCCTGAGGAGGACGGATGGATGCATCGGAGACCAGCACCCTGCCCGCCCTCCCTCGCGCTTCCCTCCTTCTGAGTAGAGATGCATTAATCCGCCGCTTAACCCATTGCCCTCCCAGGCTCCTCCGATGGCCTGTGTGTGTTGCTCGACTCCTTTCCAGCTCGCTGTGCCCTGGGCCTCCGTGTCGGGCACGGGGTGGCAGTATGGGCTGGGCTGTGCCAGCCTGAGGCTCCGTGGGCTGGTGGCCTCCAGCGGACTGCCATGCAAGGCAGGAAAGGCCAGCGTGCATCCTCTGGAGAACCTGGGGCCCCTGAGTAGCCATAGGTGGAGGTTGCTGTGGGCCACAACAGCCTCCTTGCTGCTGGAGACCTACGCTTCTTGATGCCTTTGAGCTTTGGGCAGTGTGTAGGGAGAGACGGCCAGGGGAGAAGAGGCCTAGGTGTGGGTGACTCAGCCTGGCCTGGCTCCTGGTGCTCAGGGTCATGAGGCTGGGTGTGCCAGAGAATCCCCAGGTGGAGCTGTGGCTTCCCCTCTTGGGCCAGGAGACCCCCCTCATCTTAGGTGACCTTCTCCTGCCAGCTGGGGGAGGACTCCAGGAGAGAGGTGCCGTGGCTGGCATGCTGTGTGGAGACGGGGGACATGCAGATGAGAGAAAAGGGACTCTACCTACCAGTGGAAGTTGTCTTTCAGTTTTCTTTCCTCTAACAAAACAAACACAGACTCTGTTTCCTGCTGAGAGGGGGCCATGACGCCCACAGGGTGATCAGCACACTCGGCCTCACGTGGTCCCTCCAGAGGCCCCGATGCAACCGTCCCCACCCTGAGTAGTAGCCCTGACCCAGCCATCTACTCCCAGCGAAGGCTCAGTTCTCCCTTGGACTCCAAGGCCCTGCCCGCAACATCCGGGGATCACCCCACCTGTGCCAGGCCCTTCCTGCTTGCTCCGTCCCTTGCTCTCGTAACCCCTGCCTGCTGTCCTCCCTGCAGCCCATGACAGACCTGGACACAAAGATCCAAGAAAAGGCCATGAAGGTGGACATGGACATCTGCCGCCGAATCGATATCACGGCTAAGCTGTGCGATGTCGCACAGCAGCGGAACTCGGAAGACGTGTCCAAGATCTTCCAGGTGACTAGGGCCACCCGCTCACCAGCCACCCCTCTTCCCCCAGAGCCACCCTGGCTCCACTGCTTCCTGGCCAGTCCCTCTTCTCCCAACATCCACTCACCCAACTCCTGAGAAGTAGCATCGGGCAGACCTCCTGCCTCCTAGGGAAACATACTCAGGGACCCACGGACTTGCAGGCCCTGCTGACTCCGCTGTCCAGTCCAGTCTGACTGCTTCATCCATGGCTGAGGACACCCAGACTCAGGGGTTGTGTGACGTTGTGTCCAGGCAAAGAAGTGGGCAGAGCTGGGCTAGGACTTAGGGTCCAGGCCCTCCAGGAATGTTCTTTGGCCCATGCTGTGTCCACTGCCTTGCTTTTGGCCTGCCAGGACTGGCCATTGTGGTGGGAGAACCATTGCCAGGCTTTGGGGACATCTGGGGAACTGACTTGCACCCTGGTAGAGGGGCCTCAAGCCATAGAGGAGCTGTCGGCCTTTGACTGCATTTCATTCTGGAAATCTGTCGACACCCCCAGACTGGATGTGCAGTGGAGGGTACCCCTGAGAGAGAGAGAGAGAGAGAGAGAGAGAGAGAGAGAGGAGAGCAATTAGGTGGGGTCCTGGGAGAGGGCTTCTGGGTGACCAAGGACACATGTCATTCTCTGAAGGCTGCTTCCTGAGTTTGTGGTCATGGTGCTCGAGCCCAGGCAGTATGGAGTGCTGTCGCTTTGTGTGTATGGCTCTGGATGTGGCCGGCAGGGTCTGGGCTTCTCGAGGGCTCTTTCTCCCTCCATGCCTTCTTGCCACCCCTCTGCCGGAAAGCAGGGGGCCCGTGCCACCTTCATCTGCTCACGTCTTGTCTGCCTGGGCCTCAGGCTATCTGTCTGTCCTTTGCATGGGAAAGGAGGGCCCCGGGAGCTGTGCTGATCGTTGTAGGGGGTACGGCGTCTCTGTGGCTGGCTCCGAGACGCCCCCAGTGACTCTGCGCCCTGATCTGGCCCACCTCTGCCCTAAGTCATCGGACTGCTTTTCTGGTGAATGGAAAAAAGGTGGCTCCCAGGCAGGGCAGGGTCCAGTATCAGGTGTTCTCCACCCCGCATGTTTCCCGCCTCACGCTTCTTGCTAACTCCGCCTGCTTCCTAGAAGACCCATGCATCTTCTCACAGTGGCCGGTCCAGCCACACTCCATCCACCCGCTGAGAGCCAGTGCCATTCCTGCCTACCCTTACCCTCCATTCTAGCCAAGCCCCATAGTTACCTCCATCTCTATCTTCCTGGTTCAGGTGGTCCCCAAAAAGAAGGAACGTAAAGTGGCTTCAGATGATGACATCTCAGAGCAGGACGGAGAGGTGAATCGGTTCTCGGATGACGAGGTCGGCTCCATGAACATCACAGATGAGATGAAGCGCATGTTTAACCAGCTGTGAGTGTTCCTGCTGCCCCTGCACCCCATTCTGAAGGTGTGGTGGGGAGAAGGGGATATGGGTGGGCTGGGCTGACGGCACCCTGCCTCACCTGGATTTGCTTGGGCCAGCACATGTTCTGAAAGAGTTGGGGTTAATTTGCAACAGTGAAAATTTAGGAAATTTCATCCTGCACTCACTCTCTTCGGAGGCCTGAGACTGGGCCCGGGGCGCAGATGACGGGGCTGAATTCACTGAGCATCCCCCATGCCATAGGTGCTTCTCCAAGGCACTTGGCTGAGCCCAGACGCCTACCTCAAAGGCAGGCTTCTCCTTCCCCTTTGTATATGAAAAAAACGAGCCTCTAAAAGGGGAAGTGAGGGGCTGGTGAGATGGCTCAGTGGTCTAAAGCACCTACTTAGAACAAGCTTAGCAAAGCACAAGGGACCGTGGTTCAATCCCCCAGCACCACATGCCAGCCCGCCCCGCCCCCTGGTGGGCTGAGCTGGACACACACAC